AAGTTGGTGAAGGGTCTAGAGAAGTCATACAAGGAGTGGCTGGAACGGAATCAAAGTTACCTGGCTATCAAGGTTGGAAAGAGGGTTCATGACAGTTCTGTCTGCAGCTCTTAGAGCCAAGTAGTTTTGTTCAGCTGGTAAACCTGCTTTAATGCAGAAGATGTGAAATACTATGAGATATAGCTAAATAGTGTCACTTAAAAACATGCTGAAAATTGTCGGATGTTTGAGCATTTCAGAGGGATTTTTAATTAGCTTTTGAGTAAGAGTTCAAATGCTGTTAAATGTGTAGGAGGTTATTTTGTTGCTGGCAACACCCAGGGAACAGGTTGAATTGGTAGTTTTTTTAAATTTCTTATTCTGATGCCAGTTGCCATGGTTTGACTGGATAAAACCATTCCACAGCAACATTGAAGCATATCAAATTATATATTTTTTTAAAAAAAATATTTTAATTTTAATTTAAAAACAGTGCACTGCAGCAGCAAAGAAAGCCAACAGGATGCTGGGCTGCATTAACAAGGGCAACACCAGCAGAGATAAAGAAGCCATCATCCCGCTCTACTTGGTGCTTGTCAGACCACACGTGGAGCCCTGAGTTCAGTTCTGGTCCCTGCTCTACAAAAAGGATGCAGACAGGCTGGAAAGGGTCCAGAGAAGGGCCACGAGAAGAGCAGAGGCGTGGCGCCCCTGCCATATGAGGAGAAGCTGAGAAAACCGGGTTTGTTCAGCTGGAAGAAGAGAAGGCTTCAGGGAGACCTTATTACAATGTTCCAGTACTTAAAGGGTGGCTACCAAGAAGATGGAGACTCCCTATTTACAATGAGTCACACAGAAAAGACAAGGGGTAATGGCCACCAGTTGCTTCTGGGGAGATTCTGATTGGACACAAGAGGTAAATTTTTCACCATGAGGACAGTCAAACATTGGAATAGTCTCCCAAGGGAAGTGGCAGATTCCCCCCATTGGACAGTTTAATGTTTCAGCTTGACAGGGTGCTGAACCATCATATAAACTACAGTAGTACCTAGACAGAAAAGACAAGGGGTAATGGCCACCAGTTGCTTCTGGGGAGATTCTGATTGGACACAAGAGGTAAATTTTTCACCATGAGGACAGTCAAACATTGGAATAGTCTCCCAAGGGAAGTGGCAGATTCCCCCCATTGGACAGTTTAATGTTTCAGCTTGACAGGGTGCTGAACCATCATATAAACTACAGTAGTACCTAGAAAGGCTTGACCAGATAATCCTTGAGGTCCCTTCCAACCTGGCATTCCGATTGGTATTCTATGATTCTATGAAAATATTTTCTTCCAAATTCAACAAGTGATATACTAAAACATTTTTTTAAATTATAGATTCTAAAGAGAAGCAAGAGTTATGTTTATACTACAAAATCAATCTTGCATTCATGAAATAAAAAAAAAACAAACAACAAGAAAAAGCATGTACAACATGCAGAAATATACACTCTTCCAAGACATTAAAAGGAAAAACATTAGATCCAAGGAATTTTTTTCAACTATTAATGATTAAATCTCAGCTGGGGTTATACAATTTTCCCCAGGCATCTCTCAGATTGGTCGCTCCTCTCTGCAGCTTTTACTGGGAATGCTAGGGGAACCAGCAGTTAGGAGAGCTCCCAGGCTTCCCTGGCTGCAAGCTGGTTTGTGATGCTGCTGTGAGCCAGCAAATTATACAGCTGGCAGTTTGTCTCTGAAGAACTGTACTGCTTTCATTGGCTTGGATGATGGCTTCTAAGGTATCTGAACACAAACAAGTTACTATGAGCTATGGTGTGAATTTACAGGATGTCAGTTAACATACAGTAACTGATTGTGTAAATGCTTGAAGGCTGTCTGCATTTTTCCTGGAGCACAAGTAAACTGTTCTGGGCCCAGAGCACACTAACCCAGGGTAGTAAGTGCACAACTTCTATTCTTTTCTTATGATTTATTCATATGTCTTCAGAATATTTTTTGGACCCTGCGTGGCAGAGTTAAGTCTTCCATCGTGGGAATTCATTCTGCATACTAGAAAACACACAAAATCAAGTAAACACTCTACAAAGGCAAAAGAAGGAGCTGTTAGGAATCTGGACAGTAATTTGCATGGTAAATTTCCAGTAAGTTTATCTTCAGTTAAATACACATGGAAACTTTTATTAAAAAAACCCCAACAACACAACAAAGCCAGCCACAATGGTCACATGACCTTTTCAGATGAGATTTATCAACTGTATCATTAGAAAGGATGGGATTGTGGAGGAAAAATACACACAAGATAATAGAGGACTGGAAGTATAAGCTCAGTAGAATCTACTTACACAAACCTAACTGCCTCTACTAATTCATCCCTGAGGCCAGCACGGTTTTTCACTAGTTCAGTGGGTACAGTGGAAAGAAGACAGCTGGAAAATCAGCAATAGGACATCAACAGCACATTAAAGTCCTTGAATATTGATTTGAATACATTGTTTAAGAGACAGAAACATCTGGAAAGCAGAGACAATGAACTCAGGCGAAAGAAAAAGGAGCTTTTACAGCGAGGAAACAGGAGGAGACAGTTGGAATCCAAAATTGGTGTGAAATATGATAGTTTAAGACAGTTGGAACAAGAAGCTATCAATCTAGGGGAAGAATCTCAAAAGGCAGCTGTAAAGATCAAAAAAATAATATCCAAAAAGCAAGATTTGCTACTGAATTAATTCATCTCATGAACTGCATTTCACTGAACATCGTCAAAGCAGATTTGGCTCTTCACAGCATTAGAGTGGCTGCTGGGAACAGACTAGAATCAGCATATAATGAAATGAGTGAACAGCTAAGAGCTGCAGAGCAACAACTTTGTGAACTGGATGATGGGAAGCAAGTTCTTATAGAGAACTGCAAGGATTTGCTGAATAAAGCTCAACAAGTGTGCAAACTGGGACCAGAAGAACATCTTCCAAAAGAATTTCAAACTGCTTTTCAGGATCTTCTAAACATGCTGGAGGAAACTAATGGAAAAGTGAATTAGATAAATATAAGCAAAACATTGCACGTCAAAGAAAATTGGCTAAACTCCCTGAAAAAGCTAGGAGAGCAAATTAATGAGAAGTTCAGTAACTTTTTTAGTTCTATGCAGTGTTTTGGTAAAGTTGGTCTTCATGTGGAAAATGAGGAGTATGACAAGTATGGGATTTGCATTAGAGTGACATTCTACAGCAGCACTGAACTTCATGAACTGACCTTCATGAACTGACTCCATATCATCAGAGTGGAGGTGTGAAGTGCTTCCACTGTGTTGTACCTGATGGTCTACAGGAACTCAAGAGATGTACTTTCAGGGTTGTAGATTAAATAAATTGGGGAATCGATTCAATAAATGAGGAGAAAGTGCAAATTATTAATAAAGTTTAGTATACACAAAATGTGGTACATAGTAACAGAATAAACAGAAACAAGGAAGTGGATTGCTGAATTAAGATTTAAGAATATTGAGCTGTTTCTGTGGTCTTACAGATTGTAACTTATAATTGAAACCATTTCCCTAATATGTTCAATTTTTATTAAAAAATTATCAAAATTATTTCTGCTTTCAGTTAGTCTTTTGTTAAACAGAAAACTTCCCCAAGTGATTATTCAGGTGTTTTGCTGGACAGCATTCTCCGCTCCTTACAAAACTGATCGCTTCCCCCTTACCTGTTGAATAATCTTTGCTAACTTACTTCCTCCTTGGTTAAATGATACTTTCTAGGTACTTCTTAATACCCACTTATTAACGGCAGAAGGCAGATGTTATAGCCTGTAATGTATTTTCTTAAAGAACCAAAAAACATCTACAACAAACTGGTATCTCCAAAAAGTACATACTCTTAACAGCAACTACTGGCATGCCAATAAACATCCTTGTTGTTCAAATTTATTGAGATGTACTATAACGTAGTTTATCACTAAGTTAGCAATCAATATACTCTTACATTCCTTTCTTCAGATTAAATCAGAAAACATTAACGGATTGGTTTGTTTTTTTTAAATGAAGTCCCATGCACAATATCTTTTTGACTACTTATGCATATTTTTTTTTTACAGAGAATGTTATTGAAAATAAACAGGGTCATATTCACTGCTAAAGTGACTTGAAAAGTGCATCACTATGGGATTGCTAGAAAAAAACCCATTTTAAAAATGTAGGCCTACTTTCAAATATGCCTTTACTTTGTAATATTTGGTCAGATGTATTAGTAATGGAGGCAGAATCTCTTCAGAGAAACAGAGAGCAGGCAAAGGAGAGAGAGAAAATTAAGTCAGTGGGCAGCAATGCACACAACAGACACTTGGGTCTGCTGCTAAACACAAGCCTAAAACCACAATGCAAGTCCTGGTATGAGACGAGAACTGGGTTTCATCAGATTGGCAGCTATTCAAACCCAAGAATGGACAGCTGTTTTACAAAACAGTTTGAGTCTCCAAATGCACCCCACTGAGGCAGCAGTTCTGTGTTGGATGAGCAATGGAATGTGGAACATTCCATATCCTAAAATCTGACAAATACCAGAGAGGTGGATACAGAAGACACTGTTGTAAACAACTATATACATACTTTCTTAACGAGACTCAGATAAAGATTTAGGAAAGTTTTAACAGACCCCAGAGCTGCTTTTAGATGAAGTTTTCACTTCTGTAGGAGTAGAATCTGACCAACTATTGAGACTTGTCAATGCAAATTAGTCCATCATTCCAGGCAGGCCAGGATGAACTGGATTGCTACCCAGCTGCATTCACGCAGTCACAGTGCTATTATTTCATAGTTGCAAAAGCATCTCTTCCAAGCAGACACAGCTGACAGAGAGAAAGGCAGCAATGCAGAAACATTCAGCAGAAGAGATGTTGGCAGGGCTTTACTATGTCCAGACTTTTTCCTCAAAACACTAGATCAATTCACAGTGTCAAAAAAGACCACTCTCCAGATCATAAATATAAAAAATAGATTCCTTATGAACACACGCTTGTACCTTTAACTATTTTCTTTTCTAAAACCAAGTAAAAAACTAGACACATTTTCATAAACAACAAAGGTAATACAGCAGGCGGGAGTCACTCTGATCACATTGGGGATAACTCCTTTGTAAAATCCATGAATACCTTCTTTCCTGTAAAGACAGAGAAAAACATTTAGTTTTACTTAATGTATTTTAATGGAAATCAGACATAAAACAAAGCCTGGCATTTTTTTTCTTGCACTGAGAGAGGTACTTCAGCTCAGGAGTAACAATTTCAGAAGAATTTCTCACTACAGTGTCAAAAGATGTAAAATCCTGACCTATCATTTCCCAGAGAGATGAGTGTTCTGTAGATCAGTTACTTAGCCAAGGGTTTAGGTGGTTTTGTGTGGGGGATTTTTGTGGGTTTGAGGTTTTTTTTGGTATTGTCTAAGTAGGAGGCAATTTTTTTTCTTCATGCCACAAAAGCTGGTTAAAATAAATTCAAATATCTGCAGCCTGTTCCAAAAAGTGTTTACAGATTTAATCTCACTGAAGCCAACAGAGCTGAAAGGCTTGGTAGTTTTGGGTCTTGTAACATCAAGTGAGCTGAGGATGAAGAAAGCTAAGGAAAGGCAGCATTTATTTCCAGAGAATTAAAGCACCTATGCCAGAATTTTTATTCCACTGGCCAAGAATCTAAATTCTTCCAGCTTGAACCAAGAGTATTAATGTTAAAAAGTTTCCAAGACTATTAGTCTCAGCTCCGTATTGTCCAGCGTCATAGGAACCTAGGACACCTGGAGCAAGGACTACATCTAACACAGATCCTAGAAAATGCTTGGGTGTGATTTACACTTCCCTCTCTAGGGACCTCGGTTGCATTTGTTTCATACTGAGTACAGCAGTGGCCCCACAATGGCTGCATCCATTCATACTTTATCAGAACTAATAAACCTTTCTATAGACTGCAGCCTGAAGAGCACAGTGCTGAGGTACCAGAGCTATTTTTGCTTTGACCTGGCTTCAGCTGGAATGGCTGTACTGCCTCTGAGCAACTATGGATATGTGTGAGGTAACAGTTCTACAGGAAGCTGGGACTAGACTACAAATTCAGCAAGGCTGCAGGGTAACCCAGGGACATCAGTATAAATGGCTCTGGCTCTCTTCTTCCTGCCAGAATCTGGATTAGCCACAGCTCCCAGCAGCACAACCCTCCTGTCACAGGTGATAAACTAAAGCAGTTCAAAGAATCATTTTGGTTGGACAAGACCTTTAAGATCACTGAATCAACCAGTTCAAGTGAGACTGCACTAAGAGCCCCAAAACAGCCAACTCAACGTTTATTTTATAAACTATAAGTGGTATTTGTTGGGGAAGTGAGAAGGGTGACAGAATAAATAACAGAAGTCTGCAGGCTAACCTTGACCCTCTCCTATCTCCTCTTCTGTCCTTAGACCATTGCTATTAGTGGCATCCTGCACGAAATTATTTTGTACAGCTACCATTTTATTTGCTCTGAGCTCTGTTGATTCTGCAAGTCAGCAGCATGAAAGCCAGTAAACACAATTTTGATTCTGTAAGACTCACTTTTCAAGATATAAGCTTTTATCTCTGCATGCCTACCTCCATGTCCTGTGGATCACATCCAACACACCAGAATACGTATTATGCTGATCTTGAAGACGAGCTCGCACAACTTGATAGGGATATGTTGCTGACACAGCAAATATTTTGGATACAGCTGCCATCATTATGTATTCCACAGTGTTCTAAAAAAAACAAAAAATACAAGGCTTGCCTTAGTAATGGATTAAATTTGCCTATTTTCCAAAATCGTACTTGACTTTTAAGTGTTGAGATAAATAATACTTCAGGGTTTTTTCCCTTTATAGTACCCACAGTTTAAAAAATGGCAATGACAGAGTTACAGGTAGTTCATTGTAAAATGTGTGTTGCACCCTCTCACTCCTGCCAAAGTAGTTAAAAAGTTACTACCTCTGCCCAACTTGCACCTGTTGGCAAAGTTTTCCATGTAATTGTGTAAGACCTCCACTTGTGGTTCCACAAAGACAAAACAACATTCTCCCTCTGAAACTCTCAAAATACTTGCCAAGATAAGCAGCTGGATTCCCTACAAAAAACCAGCACTAACCAACTGCTTTTTTAAAAAGTGAAAAAGCATAATTTCCTTCTATATATTCTATATTCCAATTAATATTGTAAAATTTGGCTGTTCTATGACGTATACGAATGGAATAAAATTCCATTTGTTTACAGGCCACGTCACATTTTTTTTTTCTCAATAATCTTACCAGTTTTGTATCTGATACTCTGTTTCTATAGGTGTTGTATCTCAGTTTCAAATCCTCATATGCCATGAACTGCAGTGCTCCATGTGATGTTCCAAACAAACCAGGCACAAATCCCTAAAAAAACATTAATAAAACAAGGTTAAACAGCAACCCACAAAAACAATACAACCTGACAGTGCTCAGCTTACACACAGAGATTTGTCCACCATTATTTATAAATTGTGATAACACACATTTACTGTGCAGCATGACTCAAAGCCCATTCTGGGCTGGTGTTCTTGCTAGCAGGCATCACACTAAAGTGTAATAAATGTTACTTTTCTCCAAATGACAGGCAGGCTGAAGACACATCATTGAGTGAGCCAGATGAACCAAGTGGCCTGGGGACTCTAGCTCACAAAACACAAGCACAGGTCTTAAAAAGCTGGTAACACGGATCAGCATGATCCAGCTGCAGCCTTGCAAATCTGCTGCCTGGCTCCTGCCCATGTCCAGATACTGGCACTAAGCTGTTTGGTTCCCACCTGAGATTGGTAAGGCAATGACAGAAGCTGATGCCTCTTCAGGAGCAGAGGTACAAAAAAATTCTTGTGGTCAAGTCCTGGACATAGGGGGGAGGTGTGTGTACAGAAACATGTACCTGCAGTACATACACATTTTTATATAAAGTGCAGAGCAAAAAGTTGAAGGGCACAGATGGAAAGCTCATACTTACAGATCATTTACATTAAATAAATAAATCTAAGATTTGGATCAATATGAGTGCATTCCTCACCCTGCTCAGATAGTATCGCAAGGCAGCTGAATAAAGGTGACCAAATGTGTAACAAGGAAATCTGGGAAACGTTCTCTATTTGTAAGAGGCAGTAATGGTAAGAATATAACACAAAACTATACAGAAACCTTTTATTTCAAACAAGTTGAAGAGAAGGGGGAAAACAGGCATTTTCTGAAGTGTCTGGAGTTCCTCCAGGAGCAGGACTCGAGAGAATTGAAAATGAGCTACAGTTGCATGGGTTCTGAGAAACACTAATTTTCTTTTTGAAGAGCTGGTCACTTAACTGGAAAAATATAAATAAATGGGGGATTAATCATCTTGGCCAGAAATTACTCAAAGGACCCAAAAGCTTGCTGAAAATTGTTGCAAGGGGAAAAAGGGCTCAAAGAACCAAAATGTCTCAAAAAATACTGGTATCAAACAGTTCCATGTTATTTCCCATGATTTATTCAGGTAAGATAGAAGATTTAAAAGATGTGTCTGGACACAGACCACTCTATTAAACTAAATACTAAGAACCTGGAGAAGGAGAAGAAAAAGAGAAGCGATCCTGGTAGAAGTTCATTGGAATGTCTATAATCTAAGAGGACAAATTAATACATTACTTCATAAACTCCCAACTTGCAGAAAAAAACCACAAACCTAAAACAATAGCAGGCACTAAAATTGCACTGAGCTTCTATCACTTCTGAGATTAGCTCTCTGGATGCTATAGATTTCTTAAGTTTACAATATTACAGTCATTCAGGAAGTAATGTTTAGGATCTCTTCAATAATGGGGATGAATTTCTCCGCAAGGGAAAAAAAAATGGTCATGAACTGATCATCAGTGACCGTGAACTGACAAAATGCTTTAAGGTAAAAGCCCCAGGAAAAAAACCCAAACACTTTCTCAAACAAGGATGAGTGGAATTAATCTAAACATCTATATTTTGTCAACTATGAGCATAACAGAATTTTGTCAACTTTGAACTCAAAGGGCTACAACAGAGGGAAAAGGCGAACTTCAGTTTTCAGAAATCCTGGATTAGAAAAGAAAACTAACCAGTAATATAAAAACAGAAGAGGAAGAAAGGAAAAAAGTCAAAATTATTGAAAATACCAAAGAAAAAATGATCTGGGTCAGCAGAACAAGGGACAGTATACAATTTATCTATAATGAAAAAATAAAAAAGCTTCAAAAATATTTGCACATTAAAAGTCAGAGGAAATAACTGCTCTCTACATGGAATGAATTAGAATGATGTATTTATATCATAGGAGAATGAGGTAATCTTTTCCCCACCAACAACAGAAGAATGTGAAACAACATCTAAGAGTGCTAAACCCTTAAATTTAAGCCAGCAGATTTGGGTAACTTGCACCCAAGAGTCCTAAAGCATCTGCTTATGATATTTGCTAAATGAGTACCAGGACGCTCTAAGTGTTGTGCTGATGGAAAAAGCTTTCAAAGACTGAAGAACCTTTACTGTTCAGCCAATATTAAAAAATGCAAGAAGGGAGTAAGGCCAACGGACCTCAGTAAAATAAGAGCTGACCCAGGCTTCTACTTTATGAATTTTGTTTTTTTAACTTTATTATTTAAGCATATTTTTGTAATGAGGGCTTGACAGGGTAAATGGCTGCTTACAGAAGTCCTGTTTGAATTCTCTTTTGGAGAACTAGAACAGTAGAATTAAAGACATAATTAAAAATGTAAATGCTAAAGTATATAATTCTGATCAGTAGACAATGGGAAAAAGATGGTAAAGCTGGCATAAACAACCCTAAGTGCCAAAGATCGCCCATCATCATGAAAGGGAACATAGCTGGGCAAGGGAACATAGGCAAATGTGTATAGTGTAAAGCCAATGCAGTTAAGCTTGGTGATGCAGCACTTACATTGCTGCCTGAAGTGCTGGAGAGAGGTCCTGCCTCTGCTACATGTTTTGAAAGAGTGCAGCACCTTGTAATCTGTTTAGTGTCTTCATTTGTGTGTGTGTGTGTGCCAAAGACCTGCATCAAAGTGCCCTGCTCTAACGTGCAGAAAGACACTGACTTGTCTTGACTCCTTCCTGGTGAAAGATGATACCATCTTTTATGTGAAAGTTACTTACACTTCTATCTCTCTGTAGAATCTGGGACTAAAGTTGAAGTCAAGATGGCCAAATCTCAGTGGATTTTGCTACATGCAAACACAAAGACATAGAAAATTGCTTATCTTATTAACCGCACATTTGCAAGAAGGAAAATAGCACAAGCACAGCAAAATAAAGAGAACTAAGTGCCTTAGACATTAATAAACTGGAAAAATACTTTATCCCTAGACTACTGAACCTTACCTTCCAAAGGTGAGATGACAATATAGAAGTGTCCAATGTATTTATTTCACTTGGTAACAAGCACACATTACTGCTAGGGTTTTTGTTGCTGTTGTTAGCATACAGCATTACTATTCTCAGACTATACAACTTCCCTTAATCTCCTTACATTTTCCGCACTCCCTGTTTATATTACTGCTGAACATTAAGGATTGATTTCTTTCTATTTGCTGCCTCTACATCATCACTGAGAGAGAATGAAACTGAAAACACAAATCCAGAAGCATGGAGGCCAAGAAGAATGTTAGTTGCATCCCTGATTGATGTTTTAGTAGTCAGTTACTCTGGGTTAGACGTCTAACAGTTTCCCAGGTGCTCAGAGATACTTTATGTTTTTCAGAAAGTCAATTCTTGTAATCATACAACTATTATACAAAGTTTGGTCTCTCCTGCCTTCCACTTGAAAAGAACCATGAAGATGGTTGCATGACATTCAACTTTATGGCAAAATAATTTTTAGAGTGCATATCTCCAACAGATCTATCTATAGGTGTGTTCAAATTACATAACCCCAAGCTGTTTTTTTCCTCAGTCTAGTGTGTAGCAGAACAGGTTTGTCCCCAGTCATCTGGGAGATGGAGACCAAAGGACAAAGCCTACTGGGTGAAGGATGGGAATATCACTGACTAGATGATTACTTGGATAATCAGTGAAGGAAAGGCTCCTATCTTTTCAAGAGCAGGCCAAGTTCAAGAACAAGTTTACAAGGAACCCAGCTTCAGATAAACTTCAGTTTAATAAACAATACCCAACAGAAAAAAAAAAGACAGCTTTGATCCCTGCTAGAAAGATCGATACACCCTGACATTTCTACTCTTATACCCCAAAGGACTGAAAGGAATTGCTCAGGCCAGTAACAGCATCTTGTGCAAAAGAGAGATACAAATGGAATTGCTTGGACAGAAATACCACTCTTTAGAAGACTAATGTCAAATTAATCAGAAAGAAACTATTTCCAGATTTGCAACTTGTAGTGGTATTCTCTGAGATAAACTTATCTGCTATGAGGAACTATAACTGAAATTAAGATTATGAGGAAAAAGAAGACATTCATATGCACTTCAGCCATCAAATTTCAAATAAAACAAGTAAGGGAAAAGATGAAAACTCTCCCAAAACCACAAAATGGTAGAAAAGTATTGACAAGTTAAAGGGCCACCTGAAGAGGTGCCTTTTTCCCCAGTACAGAGAAGGCTGAGAAAACTGACATTGAATGAAAGTTGTTCAGTGTCCAAAGTTCGCTTTCTTTGTTCATTTAACCAAGTAATTTGCTTTTTCAAAGGAAGTACTTGGTTTAATTCTCCACTTGCAGATAAACACTACAAAAAAGTGGCTAGTGTGTGGCTACACGCATGAATAACCTGAAGAGTAATTCAATGGAAGGACAACTTAAACCCTAACAGATGCAAGAAATTAGAACTTATCTACATGGAACAGAGAAGACATCCAGGCAGGCAAAGCAGAAATCCTGACAATTTCATTTTAGGAATAAGAAAGATGCCTTGCTCTTGTAGTCAGAATTTGGCATTCATTATTATGTGGAATTACTAGTCTTTCAGCATAGAACCGTTCTACTTTTCACTGCAAACAAAAGGAGTTAATGTTCAGTAACCAGGATTATTCCTAAGCGAGAGTGTTCTTGCTCTATAGTATTACTTGCAGGAGAAGAGCCAGACTGAACTACAATAGCTTTCTTCACACCTTCCAGGCACCACTGAATGCATCTTGATGTCATGGCCTGAAGAAAGGAGGAGGCAAAAAGTCCAAATCCAGTTGCCATCTGTTTCCCTAAATTAAACAGAAAAAACCCCACATATATGCAGACCATATTTAGAAGTCAGTAAGTGTTACGGATCTAGAGATGACTGATAGCTAGAGGGAAAACGAGGAGTTGTAAAACTCCACTGTGGAAGAAAAAATTAGCAACTACTTTAGTCATATGTTATATTCCATGAGATGTCAGAAAGACAGAGACAAGGGATGAAATGGAAAAATGCACTAGCAGCAAGATAGACTATGCTATTGCTGCCCTCCTTATGCAAATCTAATTATAGGAAGACTCCATAAAATCAAAAAGCAGCTTGTAGTTTACTCTCATTTTAGCATTACCATCAAATATAAGATGGCTTAGCCATAAAGCTTGCATTCTGTTGTTCAACGATTTCCTGTATTTTAACAGTGTAATAGTTTTTCTTTTGATTAAGTCTTTTCTTTGCAGCTCTTCACTGGGTAAGAAGACTCAGAATAGAAGTAAGTGAGCTAATACAAAAAAATGCCCTGCATATTTTTTGTAGATAAGTATTTACAAATCTCACCATGTTACTGAGCAGTGCCAGCCAAACCTGGAATTTTTTGCAATTCTGATTACCTTATATAAGCCACGTATGCCCTCCAACTTGTAGATCTTTATAAGAGCATCAAACATTCCTCTGTATTGCCGCTTTGATGGATCAACACCAGCATTATACTGCAGCACAAGCCGTGTCTTCGTTACCCATATTGGGTTTGTAATACAGAGAGTCATGGCTCCTGAGAACAGATGGAAGTTAGACTGGTGGTTATGCCAGCTCCAAAGCTTGTCTCACTTTGTTCAGCCCAGTGTAAACCAGGCTTCTACAATGACAAAACTACTTATCCTACAATAGTACTCATATTACTTAAAACAGGTGAAGTTTTATGCCCACCATCTTTCCCTCTCTCTCCCTTCAAAGCTCACAGCTGAGCCAAACCTACTCCTGCTGAGAATACTTCTGCAGAGCATACGACTTTTTGCATAGCCCTAGTACATCCTTGTCTATGGTTAGTGGTTAGGGTGAACCAAAAACCAGACAACAGAATTAGTCTCTGTTACCCCCCTCCACCCTCCCGAAGGAAGATAAAAGGGGAATAAGAAAGAGAGAATGGGAGGTTGGAAATTACAACTGGAACACATTTACTGGAACAGGGAAAGGGCAGTAACACGTGGGGTGAGGAAGAGATAAAAAGAGTGTGAGAAAAAGGGGCTGGGCTTCTGGGTCCCCTGGTAGGAAGCAGGAGGGAATAGTGGCCCCTCTCTGTTCCACCCCTCCCAGATCCTTCAGGGTCCTATAGGACTCACTATCAGTAGTGAAAATAAGCAGGGCCCACTTAAACCATAACAATCCCCTATTTTGCCTTAACTTTCCTCAGTCAGTAATAATCTATAGCAGATAGATACTGAATTTCTTATTGTACTGCTGATTATCCAAGTAATTTTTTAGTTATAAAATTGTTCAAAATTTAACGGACACCTCAGTCATGAGAAATTTGCCCAACACTGACAGGTTAATAGAAGCAACCTGTTACAGCTTTATTGGCTATTGAAAATACAGTTTTAAAATAACTTATTACTATTTGTCACATCAAACAA